AACTTTTAAGATCTACTCTCTTAGAAACCTTCAAATATGCAACATATTATTAACTAGATGCCATGCTCTACATTATATCCCCAGAACTTATTATTTATTTTATAACTGGAAGTATGCACCTTTTGACCACTTTACCCATTTCACCCATCCTCAACCTCTGACAGCCACCAATCTGTTTTCTGTACCTGTGAGTTACATTTATCTTTGAAGATTCCACATAGAAGAGGTACCTGGGTTGGTTGGTTAAGCATTTGACTCTTGATTTCGGTTCAGGCTGTGATCTCGTGGTTTCTGGGATAGAGTCCTGAGTTGGGCTCTGTGCTTACGGTGCGGAGCCTGCTTGGAATTCTCTCTCTTTCCCTTTCTCTCTCTCTCTGCCCCTCCCCTGCTTGTGCACTCTCTCTCTCTCTCTCTCTCAAAATAAATAAACTTGAAAAAAAGATTACATATATAAGTGAGGTCATACAGGATGTGTCTTTCTTTCCGATGTTTCACTTAGCATAATGCAATTAGGGTCTACCCATGTTGTAAAAGTTTTTAATTTTGAAGCAGCTTAATTTATCCATTTTTTTCTTTGTTGCTAATTTTTTTGGTGTTATATCCAAGAGTATGTTGTGAAATTCAAGGTTATGAAGATATACCTCTGTGTTCTTCTAAGAGTTTTGTAGTTAGAGATCTTACATTTAAGTTTTTGGTTCATCTTGAGTTAATGTTTATATATGGTCTGCATGTGGATATCCAGTTTTGCCAGCACCAATGTTTGAAAGAACTCTTCTTTCCTCAATGAATAGTCTCGGTGTTTTTGTAAAAAATTGACCCTAGGCGCATGGATGGCTCAGTCGGTTAAGCTTCCGACTCTTGATTTCAGCTCAGGTCATGATCCCACAGTTGGTGGGATTGAGCCCCGTGGCTGGCTCACTGACAGCGAGGTGCTTGCTTGGGATTCTCTCTCTTTTCACACTCTGCTCCTCCCCCTGCTCTCTGTCTCTATCTCAAGATAAATGAACTTAACACAGTTTTCCTTAGACACATGGGTTTGTTTCTGGGCTCTCGATTCTGTTCATTGACATTTGTGTTTGACCTTAAGCCGGGACCATACCGTCTCGATTACCATTTACTTTGTACTGCATTTTGAAATAAGGACATGTGAGTCTTCCAAGGTTGTTCTTTTTCAAGATTGTTTTGGGCTTTTCAGAAATTCTTGTGATGCTATATACATTTTATTTTTTTTAAGTTTTATTTATTTATTTTTGAGAGAGAGTGCACTTGCACGAGTGGGGGAGGGGCAGAGAGAGAGAGAGGAGAGGGAAAGAATCCCAAGCAGGCTCAGCTCCGACCCTGATGCAGGACTCGAACCCATAAACCATGAGATCATGAGCTGAGCAGAAGTTGGACGCTTAGCCAACTGAGCCATGCGTGTGCCCCAATGCTATATGCATTTTAGAATCAGCTTGTAAGTTCCCATAAAGATATCAGCTGGTTATTCTGATAGAGATTGCATTGAATCTTAGATCAATTTGGGGAGAATTGCTACCCTTATAATATTAAGTCTTCTGACCCATAAATATGGGATTCCCCCCCCATTTATTTAGATATCCTTTCAACAATATTTTGTAGTTTCCAGAGTATAATATTATACTTGTTTTGTTAAGTGTATTTCGAAGTATTATATTCTTTTTGATGCTTTTTCAAATGGAATTATTTTCTTAATTTCATTTCTAGATTATTCATTGAAAGTATATAGAAAAAACTGACTTTTGTATTCTGCAACTTTGTATTGACAATTTTGATCCAAAATTGACCTTTGTATTCTGCAATTCTTGCATTCTGCAACTTTCATGAAAATTGAAAGTAGTTTCATGAAAATTGAAAGTAATTCCTTGGGATTTTCTACATACAAGGTCACATTGATGAGGTTTTGGACTGGTGGGGGTTCGAAGCTGACGGCTAAGAAAGAATTCTTGAAGACCTCTTTGGTGCAAAAAGGTGATTTTATTAAAGCACGGGGACAGGACCCGTGGGCAGAAAGATGCACTGGGGCTGTGAAGCGTGGCTCATTATATACCATGGAGCTGGGGGAGGTAAAGTCGAGAGAAAGTTTCTTTTTTATTAAAAAAAAAATTTTTTTTTAACGTTTATTTTTGAGAGACAGAGCACGCATGGGGGAGGGACAGACAAAGAGGGAGACAGAATCTGAAGCAGGCTTCAGGCTCTGACTGTCAGCACAGAGCCTGAACTGAGGCTCCAGCTGAGGAACTGAGAGATCCTGACCTGAAACCAAGTCAGACGCTTAACCGACTGAGCCACCCAGACACCCCAAGAGGAAGTTTCTTAAGGGGGTTAAAAGAAATTTTTGTTTATTACTGATTGATTTTTGAGAGAGAGCGAAAGAGACAGAGTGCAAGCGGGGGAAGGGCAGAGAGAGAGAGGGAGACACAGAATCTGAAACAGGCTCCAGGCTCTGAGCTATCCGCACAGAGCCTGATGCGGGGCTCGAACTCACGAACCGTGAGATCATGACCTGAGCTGAAATCAGACTGAGCCACCCAGGTGCCCCAAAGAGATTTTCACAAGTTAAAGGAGACTCACAGGATCCTGGAGGCCTTAGCTATGGCCAAACTAAGGTTGTTTTTCCCTCCAGCAAAGCATTAACATTAAGACAGTAGGGACTTCATGGAGATTAGGGTATTGATAAGATTACCGTTTTCTTGTAATTTTTAAAGATATTTGTAAACTGATGGGGACTCAGGTCCCATCATGACAGTTAGCTCTGTAAGTTAACCGTTGGTTTTCTTTCCCTCTCCTTTGTCCTTGGGCAGCCAGGAGTGCCTGAGGAATATCACACATGCCCCACCTGGTGGAGGGTGTGTGGTACTTTGCACTTGGCTCCTAGTTTGCCGTGTGCTCCCGCCTTTACTTCATCTGTGGATTAGACACAGTTTTGCTTCTTCTTTCCAACCTGGATGCCTTTTTTTCCTGCCTAATTTCCCTTACTAGAACTTCTGTTGTAACTTTGAACAGAAAGAGCAAGGGTGGACATCCTTGTCTTATTCCTGATTTTAGGGGGAAAACGTCCAATCTTTCACCGTTAGATATTATGTTATTTGTTGAGCCGAAGTCGGACGCTCAACCAACTGAGCCACCCAGGCGCCCCTGTTTGTGAATTTTTTTTAAAAAAAAGTTTTAATGTTTATTTTTGAGAGAGAGAGTGTGAGTGGGGGAGGGCAGAGAGGAAGGGAGACACAGCGTCTGAAGCAGGCTCCAGGCTCTGAGCTGTCAGCACACAGCCCGATGTGGGGCTCGAACTCACTGACCATGAGATCACCACCTGAGCTGAAGTTGGACACTTAACTGACTGAGCCACCCAGGTGTCCCATTTGTGAGTTTTTTATAGACACTCTTTTGTCAGGTTCCCTTCAGTTCCTAGTTTGTTGAGTGTTGTTTTTTTTTTCATTAAAAGGTATTAAATTTTATCAAATGCTTTTTTTGTGTCTATTGAGATGATCCTGTAATTCTGTTTTCATTTTAGTGACATGATATATTAAAATAATTGTTTTTCAGGTGTTAAACCAAACTTGCATTCCTAGGATAAATCTCTCTTGGTCACGGTGCATAATTTTTGTATGTTGCTGAATTTAGTGTGCTGGTATTTGAGTGACATTTTTTCCTCTTCATACACTTTAATTCCCACTTTTATGTTTTCTTTTGTTTTTTTAAGAGAGAGACAGGGTGCACGTGAGTGAGGGGCACAGAGGGAGGGAGAGAGAGAGAATCCTCAGCAGGCTGTGCACTGTCAGCACAGAGCCCGACGTGGGGCTCAAACTCAAGAACCATGAGACCATGACCTGAGCCAAAGCTGGACACTTAACCGACTGAGTCACCTAGGCACCCCAGAAACTGGACGTCATTAAGTTTATTTATTTATTTAAGTAACCCTTACACCCAACATGGGGCTTGAACCCACATGCCCCTGAGATCAAGAGTCGCATGCCCTACTGACTGAGCCAGCCAGGCACCCTGAAACTGGACATTTCATCTTATTTCGATTAATTGATTAATGTTTAAAGCTTTCTTTATAGAGAGACAGCAGGTGCGTGCATGTGTGTGTGCAAGCTGGGGAGGGGGCAGAGAGAGAGGGAGAGAGAGAATCCCAAGCAGGCTCCGAGCTGTCACTATGAACCTCTACACGGAGCTCGATCCCATGAACCATGAGATCATGACCTGAGCTGAAACCAAGAGTCGGACGCTTAACCGGGACATTTTAGATAATACTGTAGCAACATTTCCGGTAGGGCTTATTGTTGTCATTTGCCTATTTGTTTAGTGACCGGCTGGATTGTTTTAGTGTAGTCTGTTCCCTCTCCTTCCTCCCCCTTCCCTGTGGTAGCCTCGACTGTCACCCTGGGGCTGGGGGAAGCCTGCTTGTCCACACTTGTCCTGGATGTGGAGGGCTTGGGGGGAGCTTTCTTTGATGTCTCTTCCTTGGGCCACACCACTGTTAAACTCCACTAAGCGTCCACTGGCTACTCTATTATTTTCAGACCTGGTGCAAAAATTGTTCCCCAGACTAAACCAATCAATTTCAGGCTCCTTTGACTGGATAGTTTTTGAGTGCAGTATTTGAGTTTATTCTGATCCCAGGCAGGTTCCTCCCAGCTCTCCTTCCCAGGTTTTCTCAGGGAAACCAGCTGGCCTATACTTGGCCTATGTGTCCAATAAATGTGCCAGTTGCCTTTCACCACAATCTCCCCTGTTTTTCAGAGAACCCTCGGGCTTGAACTTCTCCACATTGGTAGCAGATGAAGTCAGTTCCTTTGGAAGAGAGTAAGAGCTTTCTTTTTCCAGCCTGCTTCTTCCCTTAGGCAAAATCTCTGAGCCCTCACTCTGAAGGGTGGATGGGGACAGTGGCACACTTCCCTCCCAGTGACACTGTTGCCCTAGGAATTGAGCCCTCAGTAGAGAGGGGGCAGTAACATCACGTTTTCTCTCGCCTCTTCCAGCATGGAACCACCACCTGGTGAGCTGAGGCGGGACAGTCAGAGCCCTGTGGATTCTCAGTGGTGCCACATCGGAGGTAGAGCCTCAGTACTGGGTGTGGGATCTGGGCCGAAGAAAGGAGCCCTTGTTTCTCAGCCACACTCACAGGAGGTTAGCCTCAGCGTTAGGTTGATGGGACAAGATGAAACTGGAGATGTCCTGCCCCAGGTAGGAAATCGCCCTCCAACCGGGAGCTGGGGGGCGAGGGAGCCCTGTGATCTTTGTTGGCTGTGCTAGTCTTGAGTGTTCATCTCGCTGAGTTGCGAGTGGGGGGGAAGAGGGTATATAGGTTTCACCTTAAATACCATATACTCTTGGAGCGCCTGGCTGGCTCAGTCAGGAGTGGAGCATGCGGCCCTTGATCTCAGGGTTCTGAGTTCAAGCCCCATACCGGGTGTGGAGCCTACTTAAAAAAATTATAAATACGATAGTGTTTGTATTTATTAAGTTTTTTGTTTGTTTTTGTTTTTTTAGTAAATGTTTCTTCACAGACTATATGTCCTTGGGACCATTTCTAGAGATTAAAAAAAATTTTTTTTAATGTTTATTTCTTTTTGAGAGAGAGAGAGAGAGAGAGAGAGAGAGAGCATGAGCGGGTGGGGGGCAGAGAGAGAGGGAGACACAGAATCCAAAGCAGGTTCCAGGCTCTGAGCTGTCAGCATAGAGCCCGACGTGGGGCTCAAACTCACAGACCGTGAGATCATGACCTGAGCCGTAGTCCAGATGCTTAACCAACTGAGCCACCCAGGTGCCCCACCAATTTTTTCTTTAAGTTTATTTATTTATTTTGAGGAGGGGGAGGGGCAGACAAAGAGAGGGAGAGAGAGAGGGAATCCCAAGCAGGCTCCTCACTGTCAGCTTGGAGCCCGATGTGGGACTCGAACCCATCAACGGGGAGCTCATGATCTGAAGCAAAATCAAGAGTCCAATGCCCAGCCTACGCCCAGCCAGCTGAGGCACCCAGGAACTGCGTTTTTATTTGTTCCTTTCTTGCATTTGAAGTATTCCTCGCGAATGTCCTTGTCTGAGCCTCTTTGCCCTGGTCCCTAACCACCACAACAGCAACCAACCCTTCATAACATCGTCCCTCTCTGTCAGTGTTACAGAGGCCCACCCATCCCCCTAGTTTCTTGTCATCAGCCTGAATTAGACTAATTTTAGTGTCTGGCACAAAGGGCCTCCACCAACCTGACCTGCATAGGCTCATCTCAGGTGGATGCAAGCGGACAGAGACGGGTTTGGCGCTTGACTAAGGCTTTGGCAGCTGGTGCCAACCCCACGGGCCGGGCCACGGTGGGTGAGGGCGGTCTTCAGCGCCTCTGGCAAAGCAGTAGGGTCGCCCATCACCCCCCCCCCCCCCCCCCCACCAAAGCAATTGCCTTCTGTGGTTTAGGGTGGAGCCGAACCTTGCCTGAGCATGAGCTCGCGGCTGGTCAACTCCAGGGCAGCGGCAGGGAAAAAGTAGACGATTTCATGGGTTTTTTGTTATTTATATATATATATTTTTTCTTTTAAAAAAAAAATTTTTTTTAACGTTTATTTATTTTTGAGACAGAGAGAGACAGAGCATGAACGGGGGAGAGGCAGAGAGAGAGGGAGACACAGAATTGGAAGCAGGCTCCAGGCTCTGAGCCATCGGCCCAGAGCCTGACGCGGGGCTCGAACTCACGGACTGCGAAATCGTGACCTGAGCTGAAGTCGGACGCTCAACTGACTGAGCCACTCAGGCGCCCCTGTTATTTATATTTAAAATAATTTCCACCGGCTTTACTGGTGAGTGGGTCCCCGGTGTCTTTACGTTGCTTGTGCGAGTCTTCCCCTCCACCCCAGTTTCGTGCACTACACCCCTACTTTCTTTGTTCCGTTTCCTTATTCTAGAAGCCCAGTGTATGTTTTAGTTATCACTTTGTTAAATTAACCTTTGTTGAAGAAATGCAGACACACAGGTGATGAGCTGTGGTTCGACAAAAGATCAGGAAAGAAATTGAAATAGGGAACGTTGTTACTCACAAGGCCCGGGGGACCTGCACAGGACGTGTCGAGGGGCCACTTGGGAAGGCCAAGGTCGGGTGCAGGCAGAGAGCGACAGGACCTGGGCCACACACGTTTATCTCTGCCCGTGGGTGGGGAGGCTTCAGGGGTCCTGGGTAAGGCCGGATCTTGGTCGACTCAAACACCAAAAGCTCCGTGGGGAGTCTTTTTTTTTTTTTTAATCTTTTTTAATGTTAATTTTTTTAACATTTATTTCTTTTTGAAAGACAGAGCCTGAGCAGAGAAGGGGCAGAGAGAGGGAGACACAGAATCCAAAGTAGGCTCCAAGCTCTGAGCTGTCAGCACAGAGCCAGCCAGACTTGAACCTACGAACTGTGAGATCATGACCTGAGCCGAAGTCGGACGTTCAACCGACTGAGCCAACCAGGAGCCCCATGACTCTTTTTTTAATGTTTACTTTTGAGGGAGGGAGAACAGAGAGTGGGAGGAAGGGGCAGAGGGAGTGGGAGACAGAATCTGAAGAAGGCTCCAGACTCCAAGCTGTCAGCACAGAGCCCCACCGTGGGGCACGAACCCAACTGCAATGCAAGATCATGACCTGAGCTGAAGTGGGAGTCAACCCCAGGCGCTCCTTCACAAGGAATCTTATCTAAGGGGTGCACAAGGGGAAGGCTCTGGAGAGAGGAGAGACTGTGGGTCACAAGTGCTGTTGAGGAAGTCATGTCAGGAACTTATAGTGGCTTGTGACTCTTCAGGTCATTATCTAGGGCATGTGGTTGTATGGGGGGCTAATGACAGGCTCCCTTGCAGGCAGCTTGGTTAAACAAAATAAATGCCAAGGCAGTGATAGCATGGATAGCTTAGCTGAACTTTTGACATATTTCTTATTAAAACATAATGCAACAATTTATGTATTTATGTATTTATTTTTATTTGAGAGAGAGAGAGAGAGAGAGAGAGAGAGAGAGCGAGCGCATGACTGGGGGAGAGGGGCAGAGGAATAGAGAGAGAGAGAGAGAGAGAGAGAGAAAATCTCAAGCCAGATGCAGTGCTCGATCTCAGGACCCTGGGATCATGACCCAAGGGTAAATCAAGAGTCCATTGCTTAACCGTCTGAGCCACCCAGGTGCCCCAATGCAATAATTTTAAACTGCTTCCCTTTAAAACAGTATGAAGTATATTTAATAACAACTGTTAGATATGATAATTTATTCACACCAAAATATATTATTTTTTACACCAAATCTCACATTTGCAGGACCACACCTTTTATTTTATTTTATCCTTTTTTTTTTTTAAGTTTATTTATTTATTTTGAGAGAGAGGGAGAGAGAGAGACAAGAAGAGAGAGAGAATCCCAAGCAGGCTCCACACTGTCAGCACAGAGTCTGACTCGGGGCCCGAACCCATGAACCATGAGATCATGATCTGGGCAGAAACCGAGTTAGACGCTTAACTGACTGAGCCACTCGGGCGCCTATCCTAGTCTATTTTTCAAGTAAGGTCTAGGCCCAAAGTGGGGCTTGAACTCATAACCCCAAGGTCAAGGGTGGCATGTTCTATGGACTGAGCCAGCCAGGCACCCCAGAACTGTACCTTTAAAAAAAGACTTCATTTTTAACGAGTTTTAGGCTTATATGGAAAAGTTGCAAAAATAACTCAAAGTTCCCACGTATTTCCCACTTAGTTTCTTATCTAACACCTTGTATAACCCAAGTACAGTGGTTAAAACCAGGAAATTAAACTTGGTGAAATACTATTGTGTAAAGTACGGAACTGAATAGAATTTCAGCAGTGTTTCACTGTTGTCCTTCTCCTGTTTGGGGATTTCACAGAGCACTGAGCTGTTATTCTCCACAGATTCTTGTAATCTGTGACGATCCCATAATCTTTCCTTATTTTCCAGGACCTTGACATTTTAAAGAGTGTTGGTCACGAATTCTGTAAGATATCCATCAATTTGGGCTTGTCTGATGTTCTCTCATGATTAGAAGGAGGTTATACAGTTTGGGCAAGAAGACCATAAAATGACTTTTGTCCTTCTCAGTGTAACATATTTAGAGTTTATGGCATTGTTACATTGTTACATGCTAACCTTGACCATTTGGTTAAACCTGTGAAGCTTCTCCACGTAAAATACTGTCTTCCTCTCCTGTTCAGAACTATCTTGGAGTAGATACTGCAAGATTATCTAAATATCCTTTTTCTCCTCAAATTTTGCCTGCTAATTTTACCATCCACCTTGTCTGCAAGGAATTAATACACTGGTACTTGCCTACTATTGATTTTTCTATTTCCCTCTTCTTTCTACATCCATCAGCTGGATTTTTCTGTGAGAATTTTTTCTCACTTATTTATGTCACTCTAGATTCATAATAGTTATCTTATGTTATGAGTTATAATCCAGCACCATCATTTATTTATTTTAATGCTCAAATTGTTCTAGCTTTGGCCATTCAGAACTTGTTCTGTTTGGTTCCTGCGTCTTCTTGAGAATTCCCTTCCAGTTTTCAGCACTTCCTTACTTCTGGCACCACAAAATAATCCGGATTCATCTTATTTTTTCCCTGCCGCAAACCTTGAATCAACCACTCTCCAAGGAATCCTGGTCCTTTTACTGAAGAATGCTGTATAGAGACCGATATCTGCGTGCCAAGTGTGCTCACTGCTACTGGGATCTCATTGCTTCTAGGCTCTTTCCATGGAAAAAGATGTAGGAAATTCATGTATCTCTACTAACCCATGCATACACACATATCTGTATGACCCTATCTGTATATGTATTTTAAGGGGTGCCCGAGTGGCTTAGCTGGCTAAGCACCTGACTTTGGCTCAGGTCATGATCTCACAAATTTCAGAGTTCGAGCCCCACATCTGCCTGTCTGCTGTCAGTGTGGAGCCTGCTTGGGATTCTCTGTCTCCCTCTCTCTCTGCCCATCCCCCACTTGTGTTCTCTCTCTCTCTCTCTCTCTCTCTCTCTCTCTCTCTCTCTCTCTCAAAAATAAATAAACGTTAAAAAAAACCCACATGATTTTATGCTGATACTTCTGATTCCAATCCAAAACTAGAGGGTTTCTTATTTGTAACTTTTTTTTTTCCAGTGGTGGGAAACCAGGCTCTCCCTTGTATACAATATTCTTACTTATTTACTCATAAAGTACACATAAAGTTGTGTCAGAATTGTTAACCCACCTTTGAAGAGCCCATTTATTATGTAGATGACAGCATTTATGTAGTTCTTTTTCGTCTTTAACCTTGTATGATGCAGACAAGATCCTCTTTTCCAAGGTTCCTTTCTTCCTCCCCCCTTCAGTGGGATTTTGTGTTTTATTTACAATACAGGTTCCTGCGTTACTGTTTGCATTGCGTCTTGGATTCCCACCACATCCTCATTATAACTTGTTTATTTTTTGGGGGGGAAAACGTGAAGGGCTTGTGAAGCATTGCTATCGTCCTGTCACAAAAAGATGTTCTCGAAGGAGTATAACCCTGTCCTAATCTGTATTACTCCATTCCTGTTCTCTCCTTTTTACCCCTTTCCAATCACCCCTTGTAGCCAGTTTCTTTCTTTTTTTTCTTCATGCAGCTGTTTTTTTTTAAATGATATTTCTATTTTTAAAGTTTATTTATTTTGAGAGAGAGAGAGTGTGTGTGCAAGAGGGGAGGGACAGAGAGAGAGAGGGAGGGAGGGAGAGAGAGAATCCCAAGCAGGCTCTGCACTGTTAGCACAGACCCCAATGTGGGGCTCAAACTCACGAACCCTGAGACCGTGACCTGAGCCGAGATCCAGCATCGGACACTTAGCTGACTGAGCTCCCGAGGTGCCCCTAATTTCTTAAATTTCTACACATTCCCTCCCATTTAAATAGTGTAACGTGTGAATGTGTCTGAGGTAGACTGTTAGCCACCTCTCCCAACTTGTCTTCATCTTCCAAAGTCATATAATTTCTGATTTTAGCTGATCATAAAACTGCTTGGATCAAACATTCCCATTTTCTCAGTCTCCCATGCACCTAGATACAGTCACATGACTAAGTTCTTGCCAATGAGATGCAAGGAGTTAAAGTCATATGGCAGCTTTTGGAAAACTGCTTTAAAAGACTGATACATGTTTCTCTCTCTCTCCCTCTCTCTTTTCACCCAGTAATTTATCCTTGTGCCCAGAATGTCAGTGTGATGGCCGGAACTCCAACAGCCATCTTATACCATGAAGACAAAAGTCTTGGGATGGAGGAGTGAAAAGCTTGAAGAGCCTGTGTTCCTGATGATACCTTAGAGTCTCTAGAGTGCATTTGTGTATAGATGTACACGTTCGATGATGAAACCTTACCCCATGCAAGGCTTATGATTCATTTTTTTAAAGAGTTTATTTTTTTATTAAAATTTTTTAATGTGTATTTTTGAGAGAGAGACAGAGCACGAGCGGGGGAAGGGTAGAGACAGAGGGAGACACAGAATCCGACGCAGGCTCCAGGCTCCGAGCCGTCAGCACAGAGCCCGACGCGGGGCTCAAACTCACGAGCTGTGAGATCGTGACCTCAGCCGAAGTCGGACGCCTAACCGACTGAGCCACCCAGGCACCCCGGTCATGTAACTGTCTTCAGTGTTCCTGCACAATCAATGATAGTTGGGAAGTTCCGTGAACCTTGCACAACAAAGCAGGCTGTTCTGCCCAACGTACACATGAGTTCTGGGGCCTCATTTTCTCGCCCACTGCTTGTCAGGTGTATTGGTGAATGTCAATAGTTGGTTCCAAATGAAGGAAAGCCAATCATCCCACTAGGCAAATCCAACAGTTTTTTTTTTTTAAACATATCCAGGGGGTCCAGAAGGATATGAGTTGAGTCTGGAAATAGCACATCGATCAGCAGCATTCTTTGGGATGGAGTGAGGTGCTAGCTTCAGAACCTAAAAAATCTGAGGATAGATGCGTGTGCTGGTGGGTTGCCAATGGAAAAGTGCCGGTAAGCCAAGGTCACATTAGGCCTTCCAGAAGCTCCACTGCCCCTTCTAGGCCCATGCCTCCTCTGTGTATATATCGGCCTGGATATGTGCAGGGCCAGGTGACCCTCATTAAACCTGGGGTTAAACAATATACACTAGGGCTCTGGGGCACTCCTCAAGTACCCTCAGCACAAATAGTCTTCATTCATGACCCTTTCTGACCTCAGGTCAATACAGCTGGTCCAAAACATTCCTGAATTAAGAGCTGGGGGCCCAGAATAAGGCTCAGTGCCTGTGGCATCTGGATCATCCAACAGATTCTTAGACCAGAAGAATGGCCTGGTTGCAGGGATGCGGGGTCAAACCTAGAATCATCACTCATGATCTCTACTCTCAAGACATGCCTCCCATAACCTTTGTCCATTTCTACAGAAACTGCTAACACCCGCATGGTCCTCAGCTGTCTACATACTTCCCACATATGTGGCTCTCGCGGCAGATGCATTGGACAGTACCAGTGGAGACCTTTGACTTTGCCTACCCACCCCTAACTTGAAAACATAAATTTACCATCGACCACTAGGTGGCACCCTATCCCAAACTACCGTATACCACACCAAGGGTAGCCATTTTGAGACCCCATTGAGAATGCCTGATCTGACCTCCCTCTGGAGTGTCAAGTTTAAACAATGTGAATCCAGTCTCAATGTGAATTTAAAGAGCCTTATAACAAGTAACCATCTAGTGAAACTGGTTGTGGTCTCTCACTCTGTTCCTCCCTTATTCGTTCTGTATTGTTTACTATATGACTTTTTTTTTTTTCCTTATGACTTACTTCTATCTGGACTCATCCACACCAATCTCATGTGTGTCCTCCTTAGTTCAGCTGGTTTAGTGTCAGAACTTTGCCAACTGGGAGTGGCCTTCTACCTTTTGCCCTTTCGTTTGTCAGTAAAACAGAAGAAAGAACAACAGGACCACAAATCTTTTCCCTTAGGCAAGTATAGGGAGGCCAACGCCATACTATTTAGAGCAAGCAATGCCAACCGAAACGAATCAAGGTACTTTCCCTTGTAGGTAACTTTGAATGTTCTGGTTCCTTGTTACTTTTTAACTTCCTTGGATGATTGTCACCATGTTTCCTAAGCCCTACAAGCAGCTGGATCTTGCTCAGGTGCAACCATAGGCTGCGAAATCTGACCCAGTGGTCCGCCATCTTGTCCCGTTGCACTTGCAGACTGAGAAGCCTTGCCGTCTGATTTCCTGTTTGTTTCACGTCCCTGTCATTCTTGACTCAAGGCATTTTCAGCCCACGGTATATATCAAGACCCCTGTTTGAACTGTACACTCTGGGAAGGCAGACTTCTTTTTTTAATTTTTTAAATGTTTTGATTTGTTTTTGAGAGAGAGAGAGAGAGCACATGCATGAGCCAGGGAGGGATAGAGAGAGAGAGAGAGGGAGAACCAGAATGTGAAGCGGCTGTCAGCACAGAGCCCGACATGAGGCTCAAACCCAAGAACTGTGAGATGACGACCTGAGCCAAAGTCAGATGCTCAACCGACTGAACCACCCAGATGCCCCTTTAAAAATTTTTTTTTAACGTTTGTTTATTGTTAGACAGAGAGTGTGTGCAAGTCAGGGAGGAACAGAGAGAAAGGGAGACACAGAATCTGAAGCATGCTCCAGGCTCTGAGCTGTTATGACAGCATAGAGCCTGACACGGGGCTCAAACCCACGAACTGTGAGGTCATGACCTGAGCTGAAGTCGGACGCTTAACCGACTGAGCCACCCAGGCGCCCCTCTCTTTAGCTCTTTTGAGAGAAAACTGAAACTGAGAAACCAGCAAGCTAATGAAAAGATACTTAAGGTTCATCTACTTTTGGTTTGTGGGATTCAAAGCAATTCTTGTCTTCTGATCGCAGACCTCAGGTTTATGTGTAGATAGTCATTGGTACCCACGACGCAGGAACAACATAAGGCTCTGCTTTATTCAAAGTTTGGCAAATAAAATGACAGTGGCTGAGGTCAGGTATGTGAAGTCACTAGGCAAACTAGCCTGTCACGTTGACCCAGGGCAAGAACAAAGTTGGCCCAGTGATGATATTAGGAAATGAAAAGCAACAGGTCAATTAAAGGAACCGTGGAAATAAAACAACAAAGGCAATGCAGGAAGATTGAGAAGTAACGGCTAGAAGGACACGTCCAGAGGCGCCTGGGTGGCGCAGTCGGTTAACTGTCCTACTTGGGCTCAGGTCACGATCTCACTGCTCGTGGGACTGAGCCCTGTGTTGGGCTCTGTGCTGACAGTGCGAAGCCTGCTTCAGATTCTCTCTCCCTGTCTTTGACCCTCCCCCATTCATGCTCACTCTCTCTCTCTCTCTCTCATAAATAAATAAACATTAAAGAAACCCCAAAAAAGGACAGGTTCGGCAAAGTCCCGGAGAAGCAAATGCCCCAGACCCTCCGATGCGGCTGCCCTTCTTTGTGGCCGATCACAGCTGCTGGTTTCCCCTAGGCCTCCTTTTCTTTATCTGTGAAATAAGGGGGTTAAAGCGGACAACGTAGGGAGAAATGTGAAAGACGGTTGAACCAGAGCAAAATGATTACTGGGCGCGTTCAGTGGGAAAACAGGCAGGTGGGATCTAAACCCCCTTCTGGGTTATCCAATTCTGTGAAGTGTCTGTGCTTTTCATTGTCCTTGAGCTCTTTTGTGTCTGTGAATTGTAGATGGCTGGGAACAGTGCCAATGGCTCTTGTCCACACACACGCAGATACATTTTGAGACGTGGAAATACCGCAGAATTCCCTTTTTCTTCGAGTTTTTCCAACTTTGCACCGTAAGTCCATCTCAGCATTATTGATATGTGTGTGGATCTTTGAATTTGAACCACCCGTAATGTCTTAGTCGTCCGACTTGTCGATGAGTTCACCATCATCTCTGACCTATTCTAGTCTATCTGCATGACAGCCATGAATTTATCCTGCTTCAGAAACGATCCATTGGGGCGCCTGCGCGGCTCGGTCGGTTAAGCGCCTGACTCCTGATTTCGGCTCCGGTCGCGGTCTCACGGTTACTGAGTGCGAGCCCCGCGTCAGGCTCTGCACTGGTGATGCAGAGCCTGCTTGGGATTCTCTCTCTCCCTCTCCTCCCTGCCCCTTCCTCACGTGTGTGCTCTCTCTGTCTCTCAAAATAAATAAATAAATAAACCTCAAAAAATAAATAGATGAAAAACCACCCGTTAACAATTGGCCGGAAGTCCAATGATCACAAGTTATTTGGTCAAGAAACCACACATCCACTTCGTGCGTGGTTATAAATACAACTATAATTATAATTGTCACCAGGAATACGGACACAAAAGATTAAGTGCTAAAGAGCAGTGGGTTTGCCAGATACTTTAGGTGTCTGCCTTGAGTCGTGTACAAGCTCATGGTTCAAGGTGCTTTCCAAACCGAAGTTTTTTTAGGCCCGGCTTGTACCTGAGATTATTCAGGGTGAAAAGCCTCTTCCATCACAGAAACTCTTTGCCTCAGCCACGCTTTAGTAAGATGCCTTTGCCACGTGCCATCCGTGTCCGCGTGGGGCTTTCTGCAGAGAGAAGTGACTGTGGCTTACTGCCCGGAGTGGTCTCAACCAAGACGTTGCAAGAAACGATGGTGGAGTGGGATTTGGGGTGGGCGGGCTTGGCAGGATGTGTACATGCGGGAGAAGGAATTCTGACGGGAGTCTTCACAAATCTGGAATAAATCTTAACTCCTTAGCTGATTCTATAATCTGAAGCGAAAGAATTTTTATAGACGCTGGGTATCTCAGCCTGATTCCCCTGAAGTCAGGCTTTGTCATTAAAACTTATGTGTAAGTCATTTATTTGGGAACGTGATCCTAGGCAACTTGAGTAAAAACAGGGATGGAGGAAAAGCCAATACCTGTGCTCATTTGTGCACGTTAGGGCTTGGAACTGGACAGATGGGACCATTCTGTGCAAGGCCCCCCCACTCCCAGCCCTAGCAAGACAGCTGAGATTTCTCCAGCTTTCTCTTCGGAGGGAATATGTGCATTTGTGTGGCTGATGGCCTGAATCAGGCAGGTGCTCAGTTGTGGGCCCAATAGCCCATTCTGTAACTAAGCCTCTCCCTGTAGCTGCCCTACTTCAGATGCTTGGCCCACCCTGCCACCATGCATGCCCGGTCACGTGCATGCCCAACTAGCCTTGGGCTCTCAGGGCCCTCCAGGCATCTGGGGCTCAGACAGTCCTCCAAAACCACCTAGCTTCTGGGGAGGTGGGTGCTCCCACCCAGAGAATATTTCTGAGGCAGCAGCTTTAAGTGGTGATCGTCAGTCCCCATTTGGACTCCCGCTCCCAAGCTTCCCCAGGCATCGAGGCTCCCAGATGTCTCTGTTACTAGAGGGTACTTGAGTATCTCTCCTGCCCAGCCTTAAAAGGCAGTCCAGGCTCCTCCAGCTATGTCTGCAGGGGAATA